ATACCTTCAAGATGTCTCCCTTCTTAAAGGCTAGCTCATCCTTCTCTTCAGCCTGGAAGTTGTACATGGCCACAGACTCCATCCTTGCCCCGGTCTGTGGCTTGCGCTCTCCGTGTCAGTTCAGCGTTGCTGGCGTTTCCCAGCGGGACGCTTTTCACGCCGTTTTCTCTGGGACAGCCAGCAAGACGTGTCTCTTTTTCTCCCTCAGGAGGCTACCGGTCCAGCTTGCGTCTGTCTTCACAGCTCACCAACACTCTGACATGTCTGTTTCCGGACTCTCAGGACAAGCAGACGTGAAAGTCCTTGTGTGAGAAAAAGAAAAACCCACATGTGAAGGCAAGGCAGGAAACATATTTGACTACGTTTCTCTGCAAGGGTGAACGTGAGCGTGAGTGGGACAGAGGCATGACATCTGTACAGAGTGACCGCTGCCTTTTTTTACTGGAAGGGGGTTTCCTCTTTTTCTCTCAACGAAACTAAGGTTGCCAGCTTTTTTTTCTCCTGGCTCCTGTGCTCTGAAGGGGAAAAAAGCTGGCAACCTTAGTTTCGCCGAAAGAAGAAGAGGAAACCCCCTTCCAGTAAGAAAAGGCAGCGGTCACTCTGTACAGATGTCATGCCTCTGTCCCACTCATGCTCACGTTCACCCTTGCAGAGAAACGTAGTCAAATATGTTTCCTGCCTTGCCTTCACATGTGGGTTTTTCTTTTTCTCACACAAGGACTTTCACGTCTGCTTGTCCTGAGAGTCCGGAAACAGACATGTCAGAGTGTTGGTGAGCTGTGAAGACAGACGCAAGCTGGACCGGTAGCCTCCTGAGGGAGAAAAAGAGACACGTCTTGCTGGCTGTCCCAGAGAAAACGGCGTGAAAAGCGTCCCGCTGGGAAACGCCAGCAACGCTGAACTGACACGGAGAGCGCAAGCCACAGACCGGGGCAAGGATGGAGTCTGTGGCCATGTACAACTTCCAGGCTGAAGAGAAGGATGAGCTAGCCTTTAAGAAGGGAGACATCTTGAAGGTATACCTCCGCTGGTCATTGGGGGATTATGGGACAGGGAGTCGGAAAGAAAAAGCTAACCCCCCCAAAAAAACCCTAGCCTTCCTTTCCAAGCTCCAGATGCATGTTGAGAAAAGCTGCTTTGCTACCCTGAGCCTTAAGAGATTCCTGATTGATCTAGTGTGTGCTTTTCCTCCCCTTGGGATCTTGAATTTAGCGTGCTAGGCTTTTGGGGGATTGCTCACCAGAAGGCAAACAGGGGCTTAATTCAGAAGACTGGTTGATGAGGCGCCCATCTTGGAGGAAAGGCGCCGTCAGACAGAAGTCCTGAGAAATACACCGTCTCCTTCGGGGGGCTCGTTGGAGCTCATCTGTGGCTGCTTCGTCCATCTTGCTGTTTCGTTTCTGCTCTTTTCTCGGGGCAGCTGCAGCTGGCTCACCCATGGGCAGGCCCTTGGGTTTTTTTTCTCTCTCTCTCTCGGTCTTTTTGGTGACAAGAGAGTCCCCAGAGACACAGCTCAGATCCTGTTTTCATAGCTGAGAACTTGCAGTTTCTCATGATGAGAGATGCCGGGCGCAAGGGAAACTTGGGGTGGAAAAGCCAACAGAGTTGCTGGTGGAGGCAGAGACGGCTTCTCCGGTCAAACGCTAAGCAAGCTGGTCACAGATCCCACTGTTTGATGCCATTTCTCCAAAACTGTCCCAGGACAGAGTGACCACCGCATGGCTTAGGAGGACACTCAAGACACTTGCTTGGGTCTTAAGGAGGGCCCGGGGTTGCCCCTGTTTTTAACCCAGCCCTGCTGCTCTGCCTTGGACAGCAACCATTAACCAGAAGAGTTTGTGGCTGGGTCCATGCTGGGAAACGCCTCTCCCTCCAATTTAGCAGGGCAAGAGCTGCCTGACGATTAAATCTTAATTATGTATTTATTTAAAATATTTCTGCCCCATATTTCTCCCCAAGAGAATGCATAAGGCACCCAATTCAAGCCATTAAGCCATTATGCAAATATAACGACAAGGAGAGGAAACTTTGTTCGCTCGGAAAGGGGCAGAATCCTGGAGAATCAGAATTTGGGCTGAGATGTTGAGAGCTGGCGGGGATGGGGAGGGACGTGTCTGCCCAGGGTCAGGGTGGAACTCACAAATTGCACGCTCCCTAACTCCCACCCCCACCTTTTCTTTTTAATGCAAAGATCCTGAACATGGATGAGGACCTGAACTGGTACAAAGCAGAGCTTGGAGGCCTGGAAGGATGTGTACCCCAAAATTACATCAAAATGAAGCCTCATCCGTAAGTTGCTTCCGCTTTTCCCTTGATTTGAAAGAGGTCTCTTAATAATTGCATGGCTGAACTGGGATTCGAACCCAGGACTCCGGAGTCTTCGCCTGATGCTTTAACTGGCTCCTGTTGTTCGTTTTGAGGGAGGCTCGTTAGACCCCACTGAGTGCCATTTTCGCAGTCAAAAGGCATGTGTAATTCTTATGTTCTCCCCCGTTCTCAGTCCGACAACTGCTCTGACTTCCTGACTTTCTCCTCCAGCTGGTACTCAGGCAAAATATCCCGGCAGGAAGCAGAGAAGATTCTTTTAAAGAGGCGTTTTCAAGGAGCTTTTCTTCTCAGAGAGAGCGAAAGCAGCCCAGGGGATTTCTCCATCTCTGTCAAGTAAGTCTTTCGAAAAACGGAGTTGCTCTTAAAAATCTGCTGCATCAAATTGTATTTAATTAATAAGGTGCTGGTTGCATGCTGCTCCGGCAGCCTGGAAACTAGATGAACTCATGCTCGGACTTGGTCTAAGCTGGTGGTTCTCCAATTGGGGGTCCCCAGATGTTCTTGGACTGCAATTCTCAGAAATCCGGGCCAGCACAGCCAGTGGTGAAAAGACTTCTGGGAATTGCAGTCCAAGAACATCTGGGGACCCCCAGCTGGAGAACCATTGCCTAAGGCATGTAGGAGAGAAAACTTGAGCATCTGCCCACTTTAAATTGTGGCTATGTTGTTCAAATGACACTGTGGTTTTAACTCCTTGGTTATGTTGTTGAAATCGTAATTACGGCACCGTTGTATTGATTGAATTCTGTTTCTTATTTTATGTCCTGTTGGGAGGAGGGGTTTCCTAGGACCTGGTCGGGGTGCATTTGTGTTGAAACAGCCATCTGAGCAAAAAAAACCTGTTTGTTTGCAAATAAGGACAGGGAAGAATTGCATTCACTCCCATTTTAGTCTAAAGAACCTACCAATGTACACTTACTAACCCAACCAGAAAACCTGGACCTGAGGCATCCTTTGGTGGTCCCTTTTTTTAAGAATGAGGGGAGGGAATTCTTCAGGCAGAAGCTGTGGGCAAAAGCACATGATGTTAACGTGCCTAGAAAGGAAGCATTTGGGAGTAAAGGGGGAAAAGGGAACAAAATAGCACTAAGTGAAAGAAGGCTGCTTGGAAATATATATATTTCCAATATATATGGCACCAGAGGGTGATGTCTCCACACTACAAATAATTAAATGGGAGGGTTTCCCCCCCCCCCCCCCCCAAGCTAGCCTGCTTTGTTCAACTGGACAGGGTTGTTTCTTGAGAACTGGGCGGCTAGGGTTACAAGTTCTCTGTAATTTAGGGGCTGAAAGCAGAGACCAGACAAACTGATATTACATCGAGTAGACTCTTCCACCACAATTACATCTTGGCTGTGTAAGAGATCAGATAGGAGCACAATTATGCATTTCAAGATCCAAGTAGAAATTCTTTCGCAGTTGTTTCAGCTTCAGCGCATGCATTGACAAGGATCAAGACAAGGGTGCTTCTGAGCATGTCCAAAGTCATAAGAATGAACCCTAACATCTAGGATTATTGTCAGGTGGTGGGCATCCTTTTTCCTTCCTGGCTGTGCTCAGACCTCCTGCTAATCAACCCTCTGGACAGAATGATGGACTAGGACTCTGGAGACCAGGGTTCGAATCCCCGCTCCGCCAGGGAAGCTCACTGGAGGTGTCGAACTGGTAAAGTCACTCAGTCCAATCCGGGGAGTCTCGGCCTTTCTCTCACCCCCTGGGGTGTGTCTGAAGAGGCCGAGCAAGGCCAGGGACTTCTTCAGCCCGATGCACCTGCCTGGAAAACACGAGCGTTGCAGGATGGCAACAGCCAAGGAACGTTGACTCAGGACCTGCAGGTTCTGAACCTCTGGACTCCAATGGACTCTGAGGTTTGCACGCTTTACATGCTCCTACACGAGATACCCCCCCCAATCACAAAGATTTGCCACACAGATCTTCATAAACATACATGACAAAAAAGGTTTTTATTGAAATAGATTGGTGGTTAACGTTATACCTGAAGGAAAGCAATCTCTTATACAATAATAATAATGATAATGATAATAATAATAATAAAATTATATGGATTTGGTCCAACATTCTGTGTAATTTTTGTCCTCACTGCAAGGGAACCTCACCCTGTGTGCACACAGGGGAAGGGGTCATCTCAAACGGGAACTAAATGGGCATCAAGAGCGACTCCCGGTGTGCAGTCCTGATGAAGATTTTCACACACACACACAGCAGATGCAGCACAGACCGAAGGTGCATATGCACTTCCCAATGATGGAACTCCTTTTCATTTCCATCTGCATTCCCTGCATCCTTTGCTGTTTCCCATGATTTGGCTTTCCTCTGACCTGGGGACCTCTCCCCCGCTGGTCATCCTACTGCCCTCACTGATATTTCAGTATTTTGAAATAGAATTTCAAGTCCAGCTTGTTTTAGGGCATGTTCAGCTACTGCCGATTTTTCCGGTTGTTTTAATCTGCAGTGTCTCTCATGTTCATTGATTCTGGTGTGGATACTTCGTTTTGTGATTCCAATACTGTATATACCTGGACACAACTGTAATGTATCCGGTATACTCCTGCAGTGGTGAGGGGGTCCCTTCTGTCCTTTGCTGACCATAACATTTGTTGTATTTTTGTGGTGGGTTTGAATACTGTTTGTAGGTTGTGTTTTTTCAAGTTTCCCCATGCAGTCCGTGACCCCTTTGATGTATGGCAGAAATCCTTTATTTGTGGGTGGCTGTTTCTTCTGTTCGGTGTTGTTTTCTTCATTTGATGACTCCTGTGATTTCATTTTTGGAGTAGCCATTTGCCTGTAGGGCCCAATTCAGATGATTGATTTCGGTGCTGAGAAACTGAGCTCCACTGTTACCAGTGTTTTGATTATGCCTCTTTTTTGCTCTGGGTGATGGTTTGAGTTTATGTGTAGGCCCCGGTCTGTGTGGGTGGGTTTTCTGTAGACCTTGTGTCCCAATAGGAGGTCAGTTTTGCATAAGACCATGACATCTAAGAACAGGAGTTGGCCCTCTATTTCTTTTTCCATGGTGAATTGTATATTTGGGCGGATGGTGTTGACATGGTTTAGGAATTCTTCCAATGTTTCTTCACCATGGTTCCAAATTGCAAAGGTGTCATCCACATATCGGAACCAGACTGTGGGTGTGAAGGGTGCCAAAGCTAGGGCCTGTTTTTCGAACTGCTCCATGTAGAAGTTTGCTATAACTGGGCTGAGGGGCCTCCCCATGGCCACTCCATCTGTCTGTTCATATAATTCTTTATCCCACTGAAAATAGCTGGTCGTTAGGCAGTGTTGGAAAAGGGCATTGATGTCTTCTGGAAAGATCTGCTGGATGAGTGTCGGTACAGTGGTGCCTCGCAAGACGAATGCCTCACACAACGAAAAACCCGCAAGATGAAGGTGTGTTGCGGGTTTTTACAATTTCAATGCATTCCTATGGGAAACTGTAAGAATGGTCCACCATTGGAGGACCCCTCCAGTCCTCCGATGGTGCAGAAGAAGCCTTCGGAAGCTTGCCCAATACCATTGGAGGACTGGCAGGGGTCCTCCGCAACTGCGATCGCCGCTTTCAGAGGTTCCCTGCCAGTGCTCCGATGGTGCAAATGAAGCCTCCGAAGGCTTCTGAAGCTGGCGATCGCGGCGATGCCCCCCCCGCCACCGCCAGTCCTCTGCTGGTGCTTCCATAGCTCCCTACCTGGTAAGTGGGTTTTCCAGACTTTTTTGGCCCATAGGAAACAATTAAATTTTCATCTTGCAAGGCATGGTTTCCCATAGAAATGTATTGAAATTTAATGAATGGATTTCTATGTGCCAAAAAAGTCTGAAAAAGTCACTTCCCGGGAAGGGAGCTGTGGAAGCACCATCGGAGGACTGGCAGGGGTCCCCCCTCGCTGTGATCGCCGGCTTCAGACGCTTTTGGAAGCTTCCCTTGCACCATCGGAGCACTGGTGAGGCTCCTCTGCAACCATGATTGCCAGCTTCGGAGGCCTCTGAAGACTCCCCCTGCACCATCAGAGGATTGGCGAGAGGGACCTCTGAAAGCGGCAATCGCTATTATGGATGACCCCCGCCAGTCCTCCGATGGTGTTCGGCAAGTTTCCGAAGACTTCCCCTGCACCATCGGAGGATTGGCAGGGGTCCTCTGCAACCGTGATCACCGCTTTCAGAGGTTCTCTGCCAGTCCTCCGATGGTGGGGAGCTGGGGAAGCACCATCAGAGGACGGGTGGGGTGGGGGCCCTGGCTTCAATAGCTGGCTTCAGAGGCCTTTGGAGGCTTGCACCATTGGAGCACTTGAGGGAGACTGAAAGTGGCGATCGCCCTTGTGGAGGACCCTGGACAGTCCGATGGTGTCGGGCAAGCCTCCGAAGGCTTCCCCTGCACCATCAGAGGACTGGCGGAGGTCCTCCACAACCACAATCGCCACTTTCAGAGGTCTCCTGCAAGTGCTCTGATGGTGCAAGCCTCCGAAGCTGGCGATTGCGACGAGGGGACCCCCCGCCAGTCCTCCGATGGTGCAAGGGAAGCTTCCGAAGGCCTCTGAAGACGGCGATTGCAGTGAGAGGGGCCCCCGCCAGTGCTCCGATGGTGCTTCCACAGCTCCCTACCTGGGAAGTGACTTTTTCAGACATTTTTGCCCATAGAAATGTATTAAATAAATTTCAATGCATTCCTATGGGAAACTGCGCCTTAGAAGATGAAAATTTAATTAATGCATTCCTATGGGCCAAATACATATGAACTCCCTACACTTACCGGGAAGGGAGCTGCGGAAGCACCATCGGAGGACTGGCGGGGAGGCCCCATCGCTGCAATCGCTAGCTTCGGAGGCTTCATTTGCACTATCGAAGCACTTGTGTGGGACCTCTGAAAGCGGCAATCGCTGTTATGGAGGACCCTCGCCAGTCCTCCGATGGTGTTGAGCAAGCTTCCAAAGGCTCAACCATCAGAGGACTGGCGGGGTCCTCCGATGGTGGAACATTCCTATGGTTTCCCATAGGAATGCATTGAAATTTTAAAAACTCGCAAAACACTTTCATCTTGCGGGTTTTTCGTTGCATTCGTCTTGTGAGGCACCCCAGTACCGATAAAGGACACCCTGATACTCATCCAGCAGATCTTTCCAGAAGACATCAA